TAGGCTTGGGATTGGGCTTTAAAACATTGGGCTCAACTATTTTTCAGGCTGGGGCTCAAGCTTTCCCAAATAAGCCTGGCCCGAGCTCAAGCCTGACATATATTAGTATATACATAATAAAAATGATGATATATATTGTATAGTATTATGAAATAATAATATTAGTAGCAAAAAATGTATTATGTTCTATATAATATAAAATTTCATATAGTATATAATATTTTATTAATAATATATTTAAAACATCTGTTCAGATCAAACTTCAGGCTTGGGCCTAGGCTTTATAGGGTCAGGCTCGGGCTCAAGATCTAGGCCTGATGGTTAGGTCGGGCTTGGGCTTGGGCCTAGTGAAGAAGGTAAAGCCGGGTCCAGCCCAACTCGTGAGTAGGTTTACCTTCTGTTTAATTTCAATAAACAAAGATGTTAAAATTGCGACAAATTTGCTTAGTTGACCTAATTTACTTAATTAAATTAATTTTTTTAATTATATGAATTAACTTAATTGTCTTATTTAGGTTAATTTACTTATTGCACTTTATTAGTTACTTGATATACTTTATTAAATTGGTTTACTTAACAAATGTTGTTAAAACACAAGGGAGGTTTATAGGACTACCATAAAACTCAGGGAGCTTTTACTGCCCATCCGGGCTGCTTTTACTGCCTTGCATTGACAATATCTTCATACTTGCATGCTTTATTCTTCGAGAGATATTCCCAAGATTCTAAAAGGCTGTTAGAATGGTGTGGACATAGATTTGCCCTGATAGAAGCCGATCTCTTTTCTAGTCTTTTGGCCTTTGTCCCTTCCCATCTGTCTAGAAAGTTGAACCACAGTTACTCAGGAGCCGGAGTGAGCCCATTTGCGGCTTCACCAGAAGAAGAAAGGGATCGCGTACCATTTTGTTTTCATCGAATGATACTTCTAAAGGGTCTGTGATGTTAATTAAATTAACCTTCGTCCTTCTATCTCATGTCGCGGTGGCGGAGGAGAGCAGAGAGAAAGTAGTACTCGTCGGTCTTCATGGAGCCATTGTCGATGGCATAGAAGATGATGGGGAAGAAGTACTTCAATTGCAAAAATATTCTATGTAGGGATGTCAATGGGGTGGGTTCAGAGAGGATTTTGTAAATTATAGATCCTACCAGCATCTCTAAACCTCTCAATCTGGCCATATCCGCCCAAAAACTCATAGCTGGGGTTGTTCATAATTCATTGATCGGTGCCAACCAGGTTCCTTATTCAGCGGAGTTCAAAGAGAGAAGGGAAACTCTGAGCATCTTTTATCATTTTAACTTGGAATTCCAAATCCGTTAAAAAATGCAGAATTCAAAAATTAAAATCCGTTAAAAAAAGTGGAATTTGAAAGTGATATCCGGAAACTTACCACTGTGTTTATGGGTTTTGATGGGTAACTGAAACTTGTGGCTGTGGAGTTGGCCTCCTCAAAGATTTCTCTATTGAATAAAAAAACTCCAAAGCCCACAAATAATATAAATAATCTAGCTCAATTAACGCTTACTGAAACAATGTACTGTTTGAAAGTGTTTGCCCCCACTCAGTTTCACTGAGTTTGCTGTTGGGTTACATGTGTGCGCGCACATTGCGCGGTATCAAACCTCCATACTCTCCTTTACTATTTATAATGAGTGTAAATCAACTCCTATTAAAATATTGAAAACAGAGCTTATAATTTTCCAATGTGGGATAAGTTCAAAACTGGGTTTTGTAAGAGAAAAGCTAATTTTCCAAACGAATGTGCATATGCAATTTCTGATATAATTGGCCAATCAAACACATTGGATTTAATCTCTTATCTGATTAAAATCCAACATGTACTGCAGACCCACACTCATAACAATAACACAAACACAGCTAGCGAAGCTAAAAATTCATTAATGGACTACAAAAACGTTATACTCCACAACTGCATTTTTGGTTTTAAGGTCAATAGTGTGGGTCTGTGCCTGAGCATAGCCATGAGCGAACCGGAAAAGCCAAGTGCCCCCGACCACCGGCATCTCTCTCACCTCGAAAAATAGGATACATGATACAAAGTGAATTTCGAAAATGTGTGTTTTCGAAATCTAATTCATGCTCCTTAAATAGTTTATGAAGAGGTATGGAGAAAAGGTAGGTGCTGGTCCAAAGAAGGCACCTTGAACAGTCATAATTTCAAACGTTGCGTGGTATCAAACCACCATCTCTACTATTTCTAAGGAGTGTAAACCAGCTCCTATAAAATACTGAATACAAAGCTTATAATTTTCCAATGTACAAGTTCAAAACTGTGTTTTGTAAGAGAAAAACTGATTTTCCAAACAAGTGTGTAGGTGCAATTTCTCATGTAATTGACCAATCAAACCCCTTGGATTTAATTTCTTATGAGATTAAAATCCAACAGATGTTGCCTCTGYAACTTTGATGGTCGTCGGGTTATGGACACTAACAATGTCATGAAAGTAGAAGTGAAGGTGGGTTATCTTCTCTCGCTTAAGCCCCAAAGACTCCGGCAGTAGAGTTCGAGCAAAGCCTCGAGGTTTGCTACTTGCAGCTGCAACACCCAATGAGCAGAAGAAGAAGGAGAAAAGGGAGAATGTTAAGAAAATAATCAAAGAAGATTCTCTTAAGGGTTGATTTTCCTTTCACCAGAGGATTCTCATAATCCACGTGTGCTACTGCCTTTCGCACTTTACTTAACCGTCGTGGCATTAATGATGTCATTGCGTAGCAGGCAGCCTTTTACTAAACCTACGTGGTGCCTTATTATGCACGTTACTTAAAATTACATGTGTTGTCAATATTTAAGCTCGGTTCTTAACGAACCGAGATTCCGTAGCAGTCCAGGGCTTATCGTAAGACCACTCTCCTCCGGAGTTCATTGTCGGACCGTGTGTGTCTAAGGTTTATTGCAAAGTCACGTGCGTTTAGGGTTCATCGCAGAACTGAATGCGTATAAAATTCATCACAGGTTTAACTAGAATTTGTTTTAGACTTGTGTTGAGTGTAATTCTATCGCGATCGTGTGATAAATCGTGTGTTTATCGCGGGTGTGCGATGCATCATGAGTTCATCGCAGACGACCGATGAGTTGCAAGTTAATCATAAACGTCCATATGGTATTAATTTAATGTCTTATGTACTCTAAATGACTGAGCGAACACTATGTACCTATAAAACCATGGCTTCTCCATATGAGATTTTTGTTAGGCTCCATTTTCTTTTTGGTAAGTTACTTACCCAAGTAAATGCAGTTACTTGGGTAAGTTTTTCTTGGGAAACACTTACCCAAGTAAGTGTATTTACCAATGTTTTTTTATTTCCCAAGTAAAAAAGAAAATGACCATTTTAGCCATAAAAGTCTATTATTAAATGGGGCCTTTTTGTCCCATTTAAGTGTTGAAATCTTTCTCTCTGGGTGGGAAAGTTATTTACTCACCTAGGAGATGGGTATCCGTGGGTAAGTGATACCCAGGAAAATAAACTTTCCCTACTTCTCATATTAATCCAAAAAAAGAATATGATATTCTTAGTCAATGGGAACCAAAATTCTATTGACCAATTTTTTCCCTCTCAAAATCGAAAAAAATAAGAACGCCCCCTTTTCTAGATTTTATAACTGGAAGACTGGTTTAAGGGAGGTATAAAATTTAAGAAAACACCTAAACCTATAAAATGTAAATAATGTAACGTCTTTAACGTAATTTGTAGAAATCTTGACTTAACCTATCACAAATACAGATTAATGGACAATAAATAAGTAGATTTTAAAATTTATTTGATGTACTATATTATTTCCAATTTTGATCCAACCCACCCATCCACTTAATGGGTGGTGTATGGGTTGCACGAAAGACCATTTGGGTCCAGTTTAGGTGGGTGGACGAGTTGTGATGAGTACCCTTCCAAACCTAGACATTATCTTTCCAATCCTCCATCCAGGGCATTCCTGATTTGATCTCGTACTCTCCAATGTATTGTTGGGTTAGGTTTTGGTTAGTGGAGGAGTTGGTTTTCATTTTTAATCTGTACTAAACCCAATCCACCCTAGTTTTAACTTTGAGGCTTCACCTACATCATTCTCTTTGTTTTCTAAAAATAGAATTAAAAATTTTGAGGTATTAGCTCACCGTTCCCCAGTATTGAATAAATTCGTCCACCCAAGAATGAATCAGACTTCACGGAAATAGACCTTTCCTGGTCTTTTGGCCTTAATCCCTTCCCCTCTGTCTAGAAAGTTGAACCACAGTCACTCAGGAGTCGTGAATTTCCGGAGTGAGCCCATTCGCGGCTTCACCAGAAGGAGAACAGGATCGTGTGCCGTTTTGTTTTCACCGAATGATACTTCTGAAGGGTCTTCGATGTTAATTAAATTAACCTTCGTCCTTCTATCTCACGTCGCCATGGCGGAGGAGAGCAGAGAGAAAGTAGTACTCGCCGGTCTTCATGGAGCCATTGCCGGTGGCGTAGATGGTGACGGGGGAGAAGTACTTTCATTGCAGAAAGATTCTGTGTAGAGATGTCAATGGGGTGAGTTCAGAGAGGAGTTTGTAAATTATAGATCCTACCAGCATCTCTAAACATCTCAATCCATATCCGCCCAAAAACTCATAGCTGGGTTCTTCAGAATTCATTGATCGGCGGCAACTAGTTTCCTTGTTCAGCGCTGTTCAGAGAGAGAAGGGAAACCCTGAGCATTTTTTATCATTTTAACTCGGAATTTCAAATCCGTTAAAAGATGCAGAATTCAAAAATTAAAATCCGTTAAAAAACGGAATTTGAAAGCGATATCCCGAAACTTATCTCTGTGTTTGTGTGTTTTGCTGGGTAACTGAAACTTGTGGCTGTGGAGGTTTTTTTTTTTTTTTTGTTTCATGGGGCTACACAACAGGGTTAGCCCATCCCCTTTCCCTTCGACGAGTCAGAGAACCTACCAACTAAAAACTCCAAAGATTTCTCTGTTGAATAAAAAAAAAAAAAAAACTCCAAAGCCCATAAATAATATAAATCATCTAGCTCCATTAACGCTTGTCTGAAATCAGAAAAAAATAAATATATGTATGGTTTGTATGCATTCTATCTGGAACAAGTACTGCAGATCCAGACTCGTAACAGTAACACAAACTCAGCTAGCGAGACTAAAAAACTCAATAATGGACTACAAAAACGTTATACTCAACAACTGCATCTCCGGTGTTAAGGTCAATAGTGTGGGTCTTCGCCTGAGCATAGCCACGAGCGAACCGGAAAAGCCCAGTCCCCCCGACCACCGGCATCTCTCTCACCTCGGAAAACACGGTGTTTCTTCCAAGGATGCTAAGTGTGCTTCCGTTGTATTTCCCGTGCGTGAAGGCATAGTTCAAGACCATTAACAAGCTCAAATCATCTAGTGATGCGGAGCTGTAGATCCCTTGAGCTCTTCCAACTTGCCTTGAGGTCGGCTCCGGAGTTTCAGTCAAGGGATCATCCATCACTACCACCAAGCCAAACTCTGTCAGTGATCTGTTGGTTGATGCTGCCGCTGCAACTTTGATGGCCGTCGGGTTGCGGCCGCTAACAATGTCATGAAAGTAAAAGTGAAGGTGGGTTATCTTCTCTCGCTTAAGCCCCAAAGTCTCCGGCAGCAGAGTTCGAGCAAAGCCTCGAGGTTTGCTACTTGCAGCTGCGACACCCAATGAGCAGAAGTAGGAGAAAAGGGAGAATGTTAAGAAAATAATCAAAGAAGAGATGGATTTGGCCATGGCGACAGAACTCAGAAGGGGATGGATTCTAGAGCTCCAAAACCAGAAGGGATGGAATGGCAAATTGATTTGTTGAGCTTCTTGTTTATATAAAGCGACGAAACGGGTCTTCTTAATTGTCCATGGATTTCTGAACAAATAAAATAATTTTTCGTGTTGTTTGGAACTGGACTCTTGACGTCTTGATCACATGACTGGTTTCATGGAAGATGGAAGAATATAGGTAAGAAAAGGTCGAGCGTGATCTGTCGGTCACGCTTCCTTTAGTCCCTCTTTAATTCAACTCTCACAGTAACCACAAACCTCTGTCATTATTGACTTCTTCTGTAAATTCGGTACCGTCCAAACACGTACATTGCTTTTAATAAAGGAGAGATTGGCCTCCCACTTTCTCTCCTGTTTTTTTCGTTTAGGCTTCCAAAGAATCAGCTGTTCGTTGATTCCAGCCGAGTTGGAATTGAGAACATCCACATCTCACCATGCTTTGATAACATCTTCCGTGAATAATAATGTATAAGTGCTGAAGATATTCTCAATGCATAGCTAAGCCCAATATATGGTCATTCAGGTTTGGCTGCCAAGATAATGTGAGATTCGAATTCGTTACCAGAAAAAAAAAAAAAAAGAATTCCATTCGAATTCGAATCTTGAACTAGAAAATTGAGCATAAGTTCAGCTTGATTTAAAAGCTCAAATGTTCGAGTTTGGGTCATCTCCGGTCTATTATAATTCAAGTTTTTTATATAAAAAATAAAAAATTATATATACAAAAATAAAAGGGAGAATGACTCTTCAGCCCAGGGTCAGAATTTTTAGACTTAAAGTTTGGGGTAAGTGTCATCGGAATTGATACTAATTCAAGGGTGAGCATTCTGTATAGAGTGGGGTTATTTGGCATTTTAAATGTCTGTAGATCTGTATTGAAATTCAAAAATCTGTAATGGGCCTGTCTGTATTTTTTCAAAATCATATATAAAAATTAAGAATTATAAAAATTACACATATATATATATATATATATCAATTAAACATAGGAATCTTACGAATTGAATTTCATTGGGCTCAGGCTCGGTTTTATTAACAAATGAACCTATGTGTTAGGTTTGAGCTCAATTTAAACTAAGGCAAATCAAACTTTTAATGACCTGAGCTCCAAAAAAGCTCACTTTGTGTCCACACCTAGTCAGTTAGAATAGAACTCAGCTACAAATTTAAGCAACTCTTCTCATTTCCTTTCCTTGCAAATGGACAATAGAACCATGGTTCTTTGAGTGGAATGAGAAAAGATGGAATGGAATGAGATGCGAAAGTGTAAAAATCTATAAAATAACAAAAATTTACTATTCATCATCTCCTACCTTTGAACAGTGCACAATTAAATTTCCGTGCAGCAGAAGCACGCACGCCCGCAGATCCCCCAAAAGTATCTCCCCAGCAGAAGCAACCATTGGATTAATGCTCTGAATCGTGTTTCCAAAGTAGTACGGATCGACGTTGAAAGGAGGGAGCTTTCTTGGTCGTGTGACCGAACGCCATAGCTGGGCGTAGAGAGACTAGAAGAATGAAATATCGACCGTTGGAATTCTCTGAATCGTGTTTCCGAAGTAGTACGGATCGACGTTGGAAGGAGGGAGCTTTCTTGTTCGTGTGACCGAACGCCATAGTTGGGTGCAGAGAAACTGGAAGAATGAAATCTCGACCGTCTGTTCAGCGGTTTCTGTAACTTGGGAGTTCGAAACGGCAGAGAACGCCATAGCTAGGCGCAGAGGGAGCTTTCTTCCCGTTGGGGTTCTGGTTATTATCACTTTGGGACCGCCTTCAGGGAATGGAAGCACCGCCTGCCGATCGCGAACGGGGAAGGGGAATCGAAGCACCACCTGGGGCATCGACAGAGAACATCACCTGAACCTCCTCCTGCTTCTGGGTTCAAACGGAGAAGGGGAGTGCGACCCCTCTAGCTCCTGCTGTAGCGAACGGTGAACGGGGAAGGGGAATCGAAGCACCACCTAGGGCGTCGGCAAAGAATATCACCTGAACCTCCTCTTGCTTCTGGGTTCGAACGGAGAAGGGGAGTGCGACCCCTCTAGCTCCTGCTTCTAGGTTCGAACGTCACTGTCATCGAACCAGCTCAAGCCATTCCACATTTGTCTTATCCCATCTTTTTCTTTCCCTCGAACCAAATAAAAAAAAAAATATATATATATATATATATATATATTTATAATTTTAAAATATTCTCCTTTTCTCATCCTCTCATCCTACAAACCAATCGGAATCTTAATAAGTTTTAGAACCGAAAGACTGGTTTAAGGGAGGTATAAAATTTAAGAAAACACCATATAATTAAACCTATAAATGTAAATAATATAATATCTTTAACATGATCCGTTAAAATCTTGATTCAACCTATCACAAATATTGATTAATGGACAATAATTAGATTTTAAAATTTATTTGATGTACTATTCTATTTCCAAATTTGACCCAACCCACCCATCTACTTGGTGGGTGGTGTATGGGTTGACAGACCATTTGGGTCCAGTTTAGGTGGGTGGACGTCTGGACGAGTTGTGATGAGTAACCTTCCAAACCTAGAAAATATATTTAGTAGGGCATTCCTGATTTGATTCTCGTACTCTCCAATGTCTTGCTGGGTTAGTGGAGGAATTGGTTTTCGTTTTTCAATCTGTAATAAACCCGATCGACCCTACTTCTAACTTTTAAGGCTTACCCTACATTATTCTCTTTGTTTTCTAATAATAGACATTAAAAAGTTTGAGGTATTAGCTCACCACCGTTCACCAGTTCTGAATAAATTCGTCCACCCAAGAATGAACCAGACTTAAACTGTTGAACCGAATGGTCAAACCAGTAGACGTACGGTTGACACCGGTTGGAATAATCTTAAACCTAACTCGGCCTATGTCAGATTGTACCACCATTTAACCAAAACTTTCTATTTGAATCATTTGGCTAGCAAATGCCAAATGGGGAACCGGATCATGATCAGAGCATTCTCTTCGTATTACAAATAAAGGGCTACCCTTCATTACCAGAAAAATAATAAATAAATAAAAGGTCTACCATGGAAGCAAAATATGACAGGATCCTCTGAGTAGCTATGGATGCTATGGATGAAGTAAGTAAACCAGTTTGGGAGATAAGGCTACTAGATAGGTTGAAAAATACTGTTCCCTGCTTGGAATGATGAAATGGAGCAAAATACATGGACCCATTATAAGCCGACAGCCAAGCTGCCACAGATTAAAAAAAGATTTTATGGGTTTCAACAACAATTATATGACATCCATATATACTTAAATTTTAATTTATTGTTATTAGGTCTACTATTTGTATGCTGATTAGAAGCCCACATCAATTGCCCTACCTAATAGCATCCCACAAAAGAATTTATTTAAATGGAGGATATATAATAACTATCTTCATGTATTTGTCACAATGTTTTGTCTAGTTATAAAATAATTAAACAAAGAAAAAGGAGACAAACTTCCTTGAAAAGAGGACTGGGCATCCACATTATGGCTCCGTTCATTTACTGGTATTTTCGTGGGGCTAAGTTGGTTAATTCGGTAGCAATAATTGACCAATTAATCCCTTGCGTTCTTATGTCACTATGTTGGGGGTTAACTTTGGCTGTTGCGGCTCAACAACATACGCTGTTGAGACGGTTTCTGGGTTGGGCACGTTGAGGGCAGTTCACCTATTCATTTACATGACTTGTAATTTATCCATTCTCATGGTAATGTGGCATTCTCAAAAATTCTCTCAACAGCAAAGGCTGTTGGCCCCCAATAGCTAAAGCTTTTCCCTATGTTGGGTTTTATGGTAAGCGAATTTTTTGAAGAATATTAGTTATTGATGCCCTCGGGGGTGGATAAGTTACTTACCTAGGCCCCGTTTGGTATCTCCTCAAGAGTGATTCTGGTGTTTCTTGTGATTCTTGAGACGAGAATCGTGTTTGGTGCGAACCCACTGCCTGATTCTCATTTGAATTGGGATGAGAAAACTCATCCCAGCATGCGATTCCGCGTAGTGAAAAACTCTCTCCATAGAGTCACAATTCTAGCACGCCTCCAATTCTCACCACAAAGCTTTAAGATTTACGAACACGTGTGCGGGTCTCACACGTGTTCATAAATTAAGATTTACTCCATAGAATCACAATTCTACGGAGCTCTTCTTTCTCTTCTTCCTTTCGACAGTTCTCCCTTTTTCTCCCAATTAAAAATATAGAAGAGAGAGAATAAAAACTAAAAGAATTGTTGTATTGCTTGACCTGTCGACCAAGCTAAGATAGGTATAGTATATATACACAAAGAACAAAAATAATAAAAGAAACTAAGAATAGAATAGGCAGTTGCCTATGTACAAAGATTGCTAATTAGTTCTCTTTCTAATTTAGTGGTTGCCAAATTTGTGTGAGAGCCTTCATTAGTAACTGATATTCTTGGAGGAGATCTTTCATTGGCAGTTGCTAAAGATTCTTTATTAGCAGCTGCTATTCTGGACTGAGAGCCTCCATTGGTATCTACCAGGCTTGTGGAATTACATTCTAAAGAGCCTTCCTTAATACGCCCCCTCAAGCGAAACTGGGTTGGAAGCATATGAAGCTTCGACCGAAGAAAATCAAACTAAACTGGAGGAATGAGTTTGGTAAAGATATCGACCAGCTGATCATCAATAGAAATATATCGAACATCCAGATTTTTACGGAGAATATGATCACGCAACAAATGAAAGTCCAATTCGATGTGCTTGGTACGAGCATGAAACACCAAATGCGCTACCAAGTACGTGACACTAATATTATCACAGTAAAGAATAAGCGGAACAAACTAATGAATGCCCAAATCTCGTAGTAAAGACTAAAGCCATAGTAGTTCTATTGTGGAGTTAACTAATGAGCGAAATTCGGCTTTAGTGCTAGAACGGGAAATGGTGGCATGTTTCTTTGCACTCCAGGAGATTAAATGAGACCCAAGAAAAATACCATAGCCGCCAGTAGATTGGAAGTCATCAGGGCAACCGACCCAATCAGCATCTAAAAAAACAACTAAATACCCAAGAGAATTAGATGCAAAAAATAGTCCATGCTCAAATGTGCCTTTGAGATAATGTTGAATGCGTTTCACTACCGTCCAATAATCATTGGTCGGGTTTTGAAGGAATTGACAAGACTTGTTCAATGCAAATGCCACATCTAGACGTGTAAGTGTAACATTCTGCAGGGCCCCAACAATGCTACGATACTGAGTAGGATCAGGAAGTGGGTCTCCCTAAAATTTAGACAATCTAGATGTGGGAGCCAGAGGCGTGGTCAAAGGTTTAGAGGCTGCCAAATTAGTTTTCTGTAGGAGATCCAAAATGTAACGACTCTGAGAAAGAAACAGTCTAGTGTTGTCTCGATGAGCTTTTGCTCCAAGATAATAGTGTAGAGATCTGAGGTCCTTAAGAGAGAAATTCCAAGACAAATCCAAAATGAGTTGAGAAACATGAGAAGTAGAAGAACCAATAACAATAATATCATCAACATATATAGA